TTTTGTTCCCAAGAATTACCAATTACTCCAGTATCAATCATTGTTTTATCAGACCCTTCAAGGTTATGGAAGTGTCTGGAAGACACTGGAGGACATTCAAGGTTATGCAAGTGTCTGCTGCTTCCTCAGAGGAAAACTGGAGAATCCTGAAGGGGGGTGGAASAGAGAGAGAAAGAAAAAGAGAGAAAATTAATATATGTATGTGCACTCCTAGGATAAATTCTTGCATACTGATGGTTTCCTTTCCTTTCTCAGTGATCATGAAATGATCACAGTAATTATCAGATTAGTTTTATCTTTTCATCACCATAGTTACAATATCCATGCCTATCACCTACTCAGGAATCTATAAAAATAAGTAACATTGAAAAAAGTATAATTGCATAGAAGTTCTAAAAGAAACTGCTACATTAACATTAATGAAAACTTAAAAACCAGTACAAAATTGATATTTAATTGTTAAATTTAGTATCAAAACAATGCCATTGCATTTGAAAACTATCTGTAGATTAGATTGTTCGATCTTTAGAGAATTGCTGTGTGAGCATGATTACTGTGTAGATATCATATCAGTTGTGATTAAGGGGGCTCTTTACAGTTCAATAATTACACAGCAAAATTATAAAAATCCATTCAAAGTATACAGGAAAAAATACATTTACTGTGGGGCATGAGGGCATCTTACTCTCTTTGCTATGATGTGTGGTAAAAGCTTTGAAACAAAGTGTTTGGAAACCATGAAAGTTTAAATGTAATCATGGCAAGCCTGGCCCTTGCTCTCAGGTGCCAGTTTATCTCAAATAACATATGGGTTGTTTCAAAAAATGCCTTCCCCAGAAGTTGGAGCTTGTATAAGAACACTTGGTATTTTGGGGAGCAGGGAAAAGTTTGCTCTCTTAGTCCCATTAATCCCCACATCATTCAGTAGAYTCAGCAGAAAGTCTGAATTGGTGGATCATCATTATCTGTCTTTGCTTGTACACCAAAAAATATGGATGGTTTTAAAACAATATAGAGAAAAMAATATGCCTCATCAAAATTTGACTGATTTGATCCTTTGGTGATAGAAGAAAGTAGATCTTCTTTCTTTTTTCTTTTGTGAAAATGCACTAATCTCTTCACAGCTGTGGAGATCCAGTTGTCGAGAACACACAAGTGTGCCTTTGCCTTCTGAAAGCAAAGAGAACACTGGTACCCTAAAAGAGAGCAGTGACACCTTGGAGGTCATCCTGTAGTGATGACCAGGGACATAATCAMGGGGAAGATGAGAAATGGTGATCTTAAAAAACAGTAATGAAAAGCAATAGGAGGTTGCATGCACTAAGAGTAAAAAGAAAGATGTAATAAGAAACACAGTCCAGTGACTCCTTACTTAATAAAAAAAAAAAAATGATGAGCTAGGACTGATTTGGAAGTACCTCACGGTCGGTCATCTCTTGATAATTGTTTACTCCTAGGAGTTAGAGTGTGAGTTGCCATCCCTCTCCTTGTCTTCCTTCCTTCCTTTTCCTCCCTCCCTGTCTCCCTCTCTTCATCTCCCTTTGAATCTACTTCATCTTTCTTGTTCTCTGTCTACTCTTCAGGCAAATTGCACAAGCAACAACAGCCCACACTTCTAAAATGTTATCCATAGAGTCTTCAAAGGAAGTTTCTTCTTTTGCAATGAAAACAGGTGTCTGCTACTTCAAAATTAATCTCTTAGTGGAATGAATGTTTCTTGGGGTAGGAAAGCTCTATTTTACATTTCTTTCTAGGTATAGAGCTCTTGTTTCTGGACTGCAGAAAGCCTTGGCATTTTCTTTTAAATCAGGATGAAAACAGAGTATTTTGGTGATGTCATACTTGCTCTTTAAGTCTGAGTGAGTACTGCATCACTAAAGGTAAGAAGTGAGTTGGACAATTTAACTTTAATATCACAGGCCTACAGATCTGTAAGAGGCTTGATTACAGGTAGGATCTACTTTAGGATTTCCAGGACTGTCATGTACAATTAATTTGGTTAAAGAAACCTCAGTCAGAGCAACTTCATAAAGATTCATGTCATCAACACAGGCACATAAATACCATGRTAAATTCCGAGTGCCTTTATGTTACAACATTTGAAAGTGACAGAAGAGCCAAAATGAGAGAGATAAAAATTTTTAAAATGTCCCTACTGCACGAAAGCTTTAAGCATCAACATTATAGTGCATGTGCCTGTATACAAATTTGTACATGATTGTGCATAATTTGTGCATAATTGATGGGAATCACTTCAGTGTCCCTCTGCAGGTGGAGTCATAGCCCGCATGGGTTTGAACATTCCACTATCAGGTGACCTGACTCCAGAGCTAGCCCTACAGGTGACTAGCTAGGGGTTTTCATTGCTACACGTAACTAGTGGCTATTGGTTTCTATTACAGACCTATGTGGGGCTTGATGAACCTTCACAGAACCCAGACTGAACCCGAAGAGTCAAAACAAGGCCTTTACAGGTCAAGAGGAGATCAAAATTTTGCTTGGATTTTGGAGAGGCTCAGTTTGCACATTGGAGATATCAGTATCCACATTTGAAAGAGTCTKATTAAGTCAGGAAACCTCCACGGGAGCAGTTTATCCTTAGGTACAGATCATACCTTTAGCATAAACTTGGAAAGAGCCTTATAGTAAATAAATATTTGTCATCCTTTCCTAAGAAAAACATTGAATTTTTTCACTTCTTGGGACTGAGTGTGTTAACCCAGAAATGGATACATGGACAAATTGGCTCATTATGAAAACTCACCAACCAGGTTTCTGATGAATGGTTCACCTGTTATTTATATAATAAAAGATGGTACCCTAAGGTGTGCAAGGATTTATGCCTTCTGTTAAATGGGGATAATTTATAAGTTATGRTGATATTTTATCTATATCATCATAGGATACACCCATTTAATTCTCTCTGCAGCAGGAATTCAATGGTATTTTGAGGAATGGGTGGGCAGATATTTCATCACCATAACAAAACTAAGGAAGGATTTTCTGAAATGGATCTTAGAGGGTGACATCCTCTTGAATGAGGGCCACCAACTTAATAAGCTGGGGAACCAGGCCTGGATTCCAGGTTTTATATTCTTTGTTACTTGATCTCCTCTATTTGCTTTTAGAAGTAGCATTTATCAAAAGGTAAATTTGGGTATGTTTGGTGACAGAAAAATGCTTAATAATTGACACTTACTATCTGGTTCCTACCAGCAAAAATGCTCAAAACCTTATCAAATAGTTTAAACCCTGTTATGTGCTAAGGCAATTCATAAGAGRGAGAAAAACGAGATCACCGTGCACTTTACACAGGAAGTGCACCTTGAAGTGGGTTTTGGACACCTGTGAGGTCTGGCTTGATAAACCTCTGTGGATGAGAACAGCTTGAGGTGAAGGACGGAAGCAGATCAATGTGGATCCCAAGGGGACCCGGGATGTCTGTGTTCTTGGGAGCAGGGAGCTATGGAAAAGAGGGTGGATGGTACTTGTGAAAATTAGGTGATTTTTAATTTCTTACAATATTAAGTATGGAGTCATAGAAACAATTTTTGAACAAGGTAGGTGTGCTGAAAGTCATCTATGAAATGTGGCATTGTGTCCTCGTTACTTGTGAGCAGAGAGATCCTGGGAACCAGCACGGAGGTTTCTGGGACATGAGATAAATACAGGAGCTATTGCAAAGAAAAAGACAAACTGTCACAGAACTTACTTTACAGAGAAAGGAAAAGAAAACTGATGATAAGTATTAGAAAACTATTAGAAGATTTGTTCAGAAAAATGGAGGTGGCACTCCTGCTAAACATGGGTAAATCACTAGGGGGATTCAGACATTGAGAGGAAGCTTTATCTTGGTTTTCCTGGTGAGCATGTGTGTATAACACCTGGTGTGCAGAATACTGARATCCAAGACCAAGCAAGAGCGCAGGGAGAGGACAGAGCTACTGGAGTCTTTCCCCGACTCGAGAAGGAAAAGACTGGATCAGAAGCCACAGGAGTGCTCTTCTAAAGGGAAAGTGCAGAACAAGGAGGTGAAGCAGGAGACAATGAAAGGAGAGAGGTGAAGTGATGAGGGTTATAGAGAGAAAGGGGAAGAGAAGAGAAGTATAGTACATGTGTGTGTGTACACGTGAGTCTCTTTAGCAGAGGTGAGGAGTGATGTTCCTGTTGTATAAGCTGGGTAGTTTTCTCTGAACTTTCCAAGTCATTTTGTTCTGTCTTTTTATCTACCATCAACTCGACTCTTCCCCATTACTCTGGGTGATAAAATATTCCACCTATCACTATTTGCTTAGAATAATACATATGCAATAAAATGAATGCATTCTGAAATACGTTTGATTTCTGGATAGGTTGGAAAATAAATCCATGGATCCAGAATCCTTCGTACTTCATATTCTGCCACACAAAACATCACGGAGTTCTTAGAGGATCATTATAAAATGTAAACAAAATAGAAATATGTTAAATAAAAACTTTAACTCATTATAGGAAATATGATGAATGTAGTCATGGAAGTCAAGGGTGGGTGGAAGGAAGGAAGGAAGGAAGGAAGGAAGGAAGGAAGGAGGGAAGGAAGGAAGGAAGGAAGGAGACAGGCAGGCTTTGGAGTGCATGGGTAACATTTTAGAATGTAAGAGTCCTCTGGACCAAAGCTAAAGATGAAGCATCAAAAATAATCAGGTTACTTGCTTTCCCTGTAATGGGTATCGCTGCTACAGCAATCACTCCACAGAAACTAACCTTAARTGGGATAAAATGTGCAAGAGATCAGGCCTGGGCTTCCAGAGATTTGTTCCTTATCCCCCAAGAGCTGATCTGAAGATCCTTTCCGAGTCAATTGTTATGAAGGTGTTTAGTCACCCGCCAATTATTAGCCAACATCAGAGGCTTTCTGCATATTCCCAGAACACTTAGCAAAACCAAAAGGGAGACAGAAAGCCATCCCAACTCTGCAGACCTTACTCAGCTAACCTTTTGTCTTTCCTCCTTGTTTGCAGAACCTAAAGTAAGCTGCAAGTTAGGCCGATCTGCATCCACATCAGGTGTGCCTCCRCCCTCGGCTCCTCCTCTCAGGCAAGCCAGTGACCTGCAACAGAGCCAGGTACCATCATCGTTAGCCAATCGTGATTGACTTCCTGTGATGCAACATGCCAAATGCTTCCCACTTCTGTCTGTCGTGTGTCTCTGTAGACAACTCTTGCATTTGCTTTWATTTTTCTCTGTGTGTAGGGGGTGGGGGATGAGTTCTGGCCTTCTGTGTTTTCATCTCAAGAGGAATGTCTTTCTTCTTTGTGACTGGTGAAACTTTCTTTGCTGTTTGTTACCAAATCGTTTTTGTCTCTGGTTTCCATCATTCTGTAATTTAAATGTAGTAAACATGTACTGTATGTATTGGCATAGTGGCTATTCTTTAAAATTCTTTCTCTTTTCCATGTTTTGTGTACTTTTATACTGTCTCTGAAAATTTATCAACATTTGATAAATTTATCTACCTTGTTTTATGTAAATTTCTTTTTAAATGTTTTGTCCACAATATTGCACAGATGTTATCAATGAATTTGTACATATCTTTCAGCTCTTATCTTATTATACTGTAATATTTGTGGAAGTTTACTTTTATTTTTATTTAGCTTGGAGCATGATTGTAAGATACTGTGAATATTGATGTCCTTATAAATATTCATATACCAACTCATTTGCATTGAACACGGCAGCTAGTGGTTCTTCTTTCTTAGGCTCTGGAGACAAATTGACTGACCAGATAATCTAGATATTTACCGAAAGCTGTAGATTAATAAGGCAACCTCCAAATAAATGACTTTTCTTTCCTATACCAACAATATCAGAAATGTTTTCAGAAAGGGAATGTAAGTGTTCATGCATGGTCAATGAGATCTCTATTATCACTTGGAGAACAGAGGCAAAAAATAAAAGCATAAACTAAAACATCATTTCATTCTTAAAGTACARTATGTTGCTCTGAAGTTCATTTGGGTGTGTGGTTACGAATGAGGAATTCAGTATGGGGGAAGCCACTCACATAAATGTCCTGTGTGTAACTCACCCAGTAGGAATTCCACACATTGACTTGATTTGCAAGGCGTGATCACTGCCGCTGTGAAGTGCTGTAGGTGGGATAACGTCACCCTGGAGTGGGTTCTCCCTGCTTCCCAGGTTCAACCACGAAACTCAAACAGTAAATGATGAAACTAATGATGACACCTCCTTGGGAACTGCCCAGTACTGATTAGCAAATTACATATTCACCCATTATTTTAAATGTCAGCTATTTGAAAAGCATAACTACACCGATTAATTGCATTTCTACAATGAGAGGCATGGCGCTTCTTAGAATTTTGTCTGCCTTAAACATGCACAGTATTTTACAAACCCAAGTGCTTCTCTTAAGGGTGTCCCAAGTGGCATTTGGAACTTCTTGTGTCTTAAACAGTAAAATGCCTTTATAACTAAATGTAGCCATCTTAAACACTTCTTTGTTTTTAACTTTTTGTTTTGCTTTGTTTTGGTACTCCGGATGGAACCCAGGGGTGCTTAACCACTGAGCTACATCCTAGCCTTTTATTTATTTTTTATTAGTTTTATTTAGAGACAGGGTCTTGCTAAGTTGCTGAGGCTGGGTTTGAACTTGCAATCCTCCTGCCTCAGCCTCCCAAGTCACTGGGATCACAGGAGTGTGACACCATGCCTGTCTCTTAAACACTTTGAATATAAAGGAAGTTGAAAAGATAAGACAATAAATAAATAATAACACAACCTCACTAAGATAAACTGTTTAATTCCAAAAATGCTGTGTTTACTAATATCTAAAATTTAAAAATATTAGATATAGAGTTTTAGCTAATTGGTGGAAAATTGCATTAATACAATCCATTTTCCAGGTATTCAATTGCTGCTGTTACATTATTACCCTCAGTATCTCAGAAGTGTTCTGTGTGTTGTGTTTTGTTTTGCCTTTTTGTAATTGACTGTACAGTTGTTTTATCTAAGACCCTTCAGCTCTCCATGCGAGCAGGTTCCGAGAGCAACCTTCCAGAACAGAGGCAAGCACCTGTTTATGCCTCTGCATTATCAACTCTTTGCTCACCTGATGGGCAGTTCTTCATTCTTCAAAATACACCAAGGGAAAACCTCTCACCCTTTTTATATGCTGTTAGATTCTTTATCTATGGAAACTTCTTCTGACACCCAGATCACCAGAGATGGGCCATCAGGGCTCTGAATGAGAAAACTGCCTTCCAGGCTTCTCTGTGGCTGAGCAGCAATGGTAAAACCGTGCTCTGAATTAACCAAAGTCAACCAACATGCACGAAAGGTCCCCTTTCACTTAATCCCAGTTCCTCAGCCCTAGTCTTGATTCAGTTGTCTTAAGTGGCAGTGAGGCTGACATGGCCCTGTGCTCAGGAATGTGAAGCAAGGGCAAAAGATGTCCAAATGCTTTTTCTGAGAGCAAATGCTCAAATTTTATTCAGGCTTGTGGAGCACATAGCATTATTAAAGGCGAAATCATCCTGGTCAGTAATAAAGCAGTTTTCTAACACTAGGATCCCTCATAGTTCTTAAAATCCACAATTCCTAATAGGACCTATGTAGAATTTTTTCCTAGGAATCATTGGAAAACAATGTGATCTGTTAAAAAAAATGGAAGCAGTCAACAAACCCCAAACCATTCTGGGAGGGCCTTAGGAATCTGGCCTTAGGAAGACTTCATTCATGGAGTGGTGTTTGCATCCTATTTCTTTTCAGTTTTCTCAGCAAGAAGTGCTTTGTGCTCTCTGAGAAGTGTTACAGGTGGCATTAGGTAGAACTGCTAAGCATTGCTCCAGCAGAAATGAGCAGAAGTGGCCAAAAGTGACTGACCCCAACCCTCGGCTGCCTGATAGAACTAATAGGACCGACCATTTCCAGAGAGTCCAAGGCCAGTGACAGGATGGCCCACCATCACAGTGGGCAGGAACAAAGGGGAAGGTAACATTGATCGACTTTGCTACCTGTTTTAGCATCAGGTAACAAGCACAGGCGTGAGATGGATAGAAATACAAAATATTATCTGACTGGGATTTAAAAATAGGTAAGATAAAATAGGAAGCTAGGGAAAGAAGTGTGATTTTCAAGTGTTCAGGCTTTTTTGTACAACACATTATTCTGTGAAACCCAGAAAGATGAAAATCAGATTTTCTTCCTTTATACTTCACTCTTGAGCAAATAAACTAGGCATGGGACAATTGAGGACATTTTCTTGGAATCTTAATGCAATGCAACCACTTATTTTGACATTTGCCATTACACAAATCTTTGGGAATTAAACTGAATTTCTCTGCCTTAAAAAGTTAATTTCTTCCTTRTAAAAGTAACAAGTATAAAAGTCGTCTGCTGAACTTGGAGCACCTGTCACGTTCTCCTTTGTTTTCCTGTGTAATAAAGGAGAAAGCCATGTGCTCCAAAGAAAGAGTCAGGAGTGCTTTAGAGACAGCAACTGATGTGCATGCATTTCATCATCCCTGGCTGAGAACGAGCCCCCTGTCTTCAGGGATCCCACTGGGGACAGCACCGTTATCTACAGTCCTCCTGCAGCAGGTGGTGGGGCAGGGCATGTAAAACCAAGCTCTCCTTCAAGAATGGAGCTGCCAGGATGGTTCTCCATGCCAAAGGGCAGCTCTGCCAGGAAAGATGCTCCAGAGGTCTGTTTGCACTCATTTTTCTGGGAAGGAAGGAGATGTGGGCACACCCACCACCATGCACAGTCTCACCCCCGCCACACACACACACACACACACACACACACACACACACACTCACGCACTCATGAACACACACACTTCACAAATGGCCCAAAGGTTTGACTGGAATTTCCACTTCTTCCTGAGGCTTGTTTATCATTTAAGCTGGGTTACCTCTGAGGGTCTGTGATATGGGAGAGAGGAATAAGGCCATCTGCTGTTTTGTGACAGACCCACATCTCTCTAGAAGTACATGCAGAAAGCCTCAGCCTCCGGACTCCAGATCTTTGTGCTGTGGGACCCTGAACCATTATGCCTATGTCCTCACACCCAGGACAGGCCTCGCCCAGCCCCTGCCCTTTCAWACTCCAAGGCTGTTATTCAGGTTAGTAGCCCAGGTCCTTTTGATTGCAGCCCTCCACCCCCTCCATGCTCCTAATGTCACCCTTCTGGAGAGTGTCCAGAGCATAATGAGAGCTTCCAGGCTGCCTGTAGGGCCCAGCGGCTCTCTGTTCCCATGGGGTCCATAGCTGTCTGCACACCTGCATCTGGCTGGCACTCCTGGATGCTGGAAGAGCACGCTCAGGTAACCCTCCATTACAGTTTGTGTCCAGAGAGCATTTCTAGACCTGTCTGCATGTTAAAATTATTTTATAGAKACTTTGTAAAAGGAAAATAAATAATCCACCCATAGGGTCATGAGATCAGTATACTCAGAGGTGAAGGTGAAGGGCTTAGGATTCCTTGGCAAGGACTCTGCCCAGTCCCAAGGTGCTCCTCCAGTGCCCAGCACGTGTGATGAGCCAGTGGTCCTTTGCTGACTGACTCATTCTCTCCCTCTGTAAATGTCCCCTGAAAAAGTTTCTTCTCCCACAGTCTGATCTTGTCCCTGTTCTTTATTCCTTTTGATGCCTCCAGAGCAGGGATGTTTTGACTTTCCCATAGCCCCTGAAACGCTTTGCCTTACAACATGGAAGACTCCTTACTCTCTCTTAAGGTCTCTGCAAGTTTTTGGCTTCAGCTTTCTGAATTGTGAGGGTATTTGCACATAAAACATGTGCCAGAGCTTCTGGAGCAGGAGGAAGGCTTCAGACAGGGAGACCAAACAGAGTAATATTCCAGGGTGTGAAATGAGGATGCAGAGAAGAAATTCAGCCTCAGCCACTCAGTGCCCAGAATCAACCCCCCATAATGTCACTTTAAAGACTTTGGCCTCATTTAATATTTCCTTCAATTACATCAGGTAGAAAAACTGAATGAAACCAAAGAGCGATATGGAAAAATCTCCATACTTTCATCTCAATTCTGCTGAAAACTTAAACCTGCTCTGCAAAAATTAAGTTTAAAAAAAAAAAAAAAAAAA